TTCATTTACAGTTCTGATCTATGAACCAGAAAATCCCGAGGCCAAGGAGTTTTTCTCACTTATTGAAGAAATGTTGCTGTTGGGTAAATTTAACAATGGAAATTGCCTTCTTTCTCAAGGATCTAAGCGCAGTCGCTCTTTAAAAACCCATTATCCTGGGAGGTTGGCAAAGGGCATCCTCTCGAGGCGTTTAAGGAAAGGGTCAGTGGCTCCCTGGGATGGGCTCATGAAGACCAGTGCTCAGTGCTGCGGTCATGATGACCCTTCTCTCTGTGGCGTGGAACTGCCCAAGTGCAGCAGGCTTTCCAGGCACGGGAACCAGACAGTCTGGGGGCAGTGAGGGAGGCAGGGGGGTGGAGCAAGACATGTTAGTCACCCTCATGTAGGAGATGTTATCCCACGATTCTAAGGAAAGCCACTACCCCGTCAGCTGCCCTAAATCTCACTCTTCAACATGCCATCGAAGTAGGGATTACATTGACGATAGTGCACATACTGTTCTTTCACTAGCCCTAGGTTCTAAACGAACTTTAAGTCCACCAACATTTTTATATCAACAAGAATGTTGCGTCTTTCTATTACCGCTTTGACCCTGTATACGGTTAGCAGAGTTCAGCCCAGCGTTACCATGCTCAGATAGATAGATATAGGTATTTCTTGGTGGAGGGTGGGGCAAGGAGAATTCTGATATTTCCAAGAGTGGAAATTCTCAGGAGCATTTGAACCCATTCTGTTCTTTTCGGTGGCAGAGAAAGCGAAGCGCCCCGAGGAAGACTCCGAAGAAGACCTTGACGACAGCAGCGCGGAGAGCGAGGGGGAAAGCAGCGAGGAGCAGAGTGAAGACAGCTCCGACGAGTGTGAAGACGGCTGACGGCCGGCCGAGGCCACTGCTGGGCTGTGAGCCTCGCGCCCTGCTGGGTGTGTTCCGCGGAATTCTCCGTCCTGTGTGCTATAGCAGTATAAAGACAGAGCAGCACGGTGTCTACTTCTTCTTCCCAGCTGCCGAGTTCCCTTCACTTGCCCATCTCCTTCGTGGGAGCTCAGTTTTCATATTTCGGCCCTCGGTCTAATGTGAGTTCCTCAGGTGGTAGACGGGAATTGCAGATTTCTTGCCTTACAGTGCCAGCTACAACTGAGACGTCTCCACACGGGGTCGGTCACTTATTTAGTTCAGCCGTCCCCTAAGGGAAGTACGATGGCCACATCCCTTCTGAAGAGGTTGGCAGTTCACTCACACAGGCCGAGGAAGAGCAGTGGGTTCATTTGCTGACTGCCGTAGCCAGTTCCCCCAAACCGGCTGGCTCAGAACCGTGCACATGTAGTATCTGGCAGTTCTGGGGCCTGGGGGTCCGGAGCCCAAAAGCAGCCTCGATGAGTGAGCATCCAAGTGCAGAATCAAAGTTGCATTCCTCCCGGAGGCTGCAGCAGAGGCTGCGCCTTTGCCTTCTCTCACTTTTAAAGCTGCCGGCATTCCTTGGCTCAGGGCCTTCTGGCCCTTCTTAAAAGCCGACAACATCTGCTCAAGCCCTCCTCCTCCTTCCCCTTCTGCCTCCCTCTTACACTTGTAAGGACATTTACAAGGGGCTTCAAAAGCTTGCGGGACAATCCCACGATCTTTTCTTTCCGTTTCCCACGACCTTTTCGCAGCCCCCTCCAAGGATTGGGTTGGTCCACCGAGATGCCTGGGCGTCAGCTCCCTCCCTTCAGCCCAGGTGATACGCAGATGTCCTTCCCTCTGTCACCTTAGTTATTCTTCGTCATGCAGCCCAAGACCTCCACGGGCTCTAAAGATGAAGTGTGAGCGTCTTTTTCCCTTGAGGGAGCAGAAGTGGAAAGAGCGTTGTTCTGGGTCCCACAGACAGTCATGGTTACGGTTTTACCATTCAGGGCATGGAAGCTTGGAAAAGCCACCTGGGCTAGAGATAGGAGTCCTCCGTCGGCGGAGATAGAGGCAAGAGAGTGCAGGTTGGGGAGAGGAGGACCAAGGGTGGAGCTGAGATGATTGCCAGCATCGAAGTGCTTGTCCAAGAAAGAGGAGCGCACAGAGGAGGCCAAGATAGCCACGAGGAAAGAGCATCATGATGCCGGCAGCCCCTGGGTCACGAACAAGCTCTGTTCCTGTGTCTTTTAGGCACCTTGGTAGGTGTGTTAAAAACAAGTTTGTAGGTATGGTTCTTATTTAGCCTTACTTGATTGCCAAAAAAAAAAAAAAAGGAACCTTAGTGGTGTAGCGGATTATAAGTTGGGCTTTTAACCACAAGGCCAACAGTTCAAAACCACCAGCTGCTCTGTGGGAGGAAGATGAGGTTTTCTGTTCCTGTAACGCTTTACAGCCTCTTGCCCTGTCCTATACACTCATTACAAGTCGAAGTCCACTCAAGGCCGTGAGGTTTGCGGGTTTTAGTTCAAAACAATCAACTTGATGGCAGCGAGCTCAAACAAAACCCACTGCCATCAAGTGGATTCTGACACCTGGTGACCCTATCAGATGGTAAAGTGCCTGCTGTGGGGTTTTAAGACTGGAACGCTTTACAGGGGGAGAAAGCCCCATCTTTCTCAGGAGAAGGGGCTTTGAACTGCCGACCTGGCAGATGACAGCCGAACAGATAAACACTGCACCACCATGGCTCGGAACAGTGGACTAGTGCAAGACAAACCTCAAAGGCTTTGCAAGGGAAGGTCATTGTGACGAAGAGTTTGTCCCATCGCTTCAAAGTGAGGGCACGTTTACATAATCAAGGGCCAGTACTACTTGTCCCTAGGTGTCCTATCTGGTTGCCTGCTCAGCATCCACTCTCCCGTGCTGCTTTGCCAAAAAAGCCCTGCTTCTCGCTGCACACATACTCCCTCCCCACACAGGGCCTTGGAACTCGGATCATTCCACCCGCAGTCAGTGCCTGGCATTTCTTTGGTGTCTTACTGTTCTCGAGAAGCATATGTGACCTACATTAGCTCCAACAGACAGACATTTTATTTCATGACTGTGAGAGATTCTGCCATTTCTCTGGAAAAGATCCAGGAAGCATGTTGTCCTAGTTACTGCTGGCAGCCGCCACCTGACTGTGAGGGGAACCCAGCTCAGGATGCTGGGGATCGCAGAGCGGAAGGAAACTAGGTCTTGCGTGATGTTCAACCACTCCAACAACTGCCCCAAGAGTCGGCCCTCTGTTGGAGCTTCCTGTTGTGCGAGGGAAACCTTCTTGTTGTGTAAACCAACTTACGGCAAGCGTCCTCTCAAGCTCTCACTGCCCTCGAGTCGATGCTGACTCGGAGTGACCCTGTAGGGCAAGGTAGAACTGCCCCTGTGCGCTTCCCAGACTGCAACTCTATGGGAATCAGCAGTCCCAGCTTTCTCCCTTGGAGTGGCTGTTGGTTCTGAACTGCTGATCTTGCAGTTAACAGCCCCATGTTAACTGTGCCACCAGAGCTGTGCCATCACTGCCATCACATCCCTATCACCATGCCACCAGAGCTCCTCAGGCTTCCTTTACTGCCACCAAAAGCATTGTGACTGGTGATGAGAACACCGCGGAAACCTGCACAAGGGCGGGTTTCGAGGCCACTGGCCTCATCGAAAACTTACCACAAGGACAATAAGAAGTGTTGCCAAAAATGGCAGACAAAGGCTTCAGGCCACCTCACCTAACCTCTCAGGGGGGAAAGAATGATCCGCATCAATATCCCGAACATGATTCCTATGAAGTGGAGGTCAGACGTAGATAGCTCCTCTCCAACCTCACTACTCATTCTGACAGCAGCCATCCTCTCACAGCACACTGTTTCCGCACTGGGCCCCGTAATGTTTGCAGTGACCACTGAGAACGCACAGATAATACAGTCATGGTGTATAATACAGTCATGGTGTGTATTAAGGGAGAAATTGGTTACAATTCAGGATCAGAAATTATTCAGGATGCAATTATTTGACTAGCACAGCTGCTTCTCAGCCATGCCCGCAGAATGGCCTACCCTCCATTCTTCCTTTCCTCCTCATCTCTCTCTCACTCTCTCAGGCCAACTCCATCAATAAGTGCCTGGAGGCACACCTACTGGACCAGGAAGCCTCTGCTCAAAGGCATTCAGCTCTCTTGCCTTGTAGGTCAGGGGGCCTCGTTCCCCTGCTTCCCGGGAAGCATTCTGCAGGCCGACAAGCCTACTGTCTGAAGGCACTCAGCACTCTCAACTCCACAGCTGCTGGTCTCGGGTTTTCTGCCTCTCTGCTAATTCTCATCATCTCTTGCCATCTCCAGTGTTAAAGTTCTCTGTCACCCGAGTCTAGGAGGTTCCCTCCACAGAGACTCCAGGTCTACTGGTTGTCTCTGCTCTTGTCTCTCTGGTGCCAGTCAAGTTCTCTTATCTGACTCTGGGAGACTGGACTCATCCGCTCATTGTAAGCCTAACCGAATGGGAAAACTGACCAATCTCCTTGTTAGGATTCCATACACCTTATTTGCATGGTCCCACGATCAATGAGTCTATAGTAAATTCTCATGGAATCTGCAGTCGAGATCAAATGATGTATTGCACTGGGTAAATCTGCTACACAAGACTTCAACACAAGTGTTGGAAAGCAAGGATGTTATGTTGAGCTGTACCTGATGCAAGCCACGGTATTTTCAATTGCCTTATATGCATGTGAACGGTGAACACTGAATAAGGGAGCCTGAAGAGCTGATGTCTTTTCATTGCGGTGCTGGCCAACAATATTGAAAATACCACGGGCTGCCAAGAGAACAACCAAATCTGCCTCGGAAGAAGTGCAGCCAGAGTGCTCCTCAGAGGCAAAGATGACAGGACTTCATCTCACACACTTTGGACGTGTTGTCAGGAGAGACCAGCCCCTGGAGACGGACATCATGCGTAAAGTGGAGGGGTAGCAAAAAGAGGAAGACCCTCGGCAAAACGATGGACACAGTGGCTTCAACAATGGGCACAAACAGAACAATTGTGAGGATGGTGCAGGACCAGGCAATGCGTCAATTCTGTTGTATGGAGAGTTGCTATTAGAACAGACTCAGTGCAATCGAACAACAATATCCCACAAGGGTTGCTGGCACCTCATTTGCATGATTAGCAAGTTATCCAATACCATTGGTGGGCCATAAACACCTCATTGCATACTGTCACCCAATCGCTTGATGGGAGTTACAAGACCATGGCAAGAAAGGCTATATAGAAGCTCTCGGCTACACTTACATAAGAACTCCCACCCACTGCAGTGTAAGTATTGTTGAAAAGCAACAAGGAGATCATTGGTAACCTTGAGAAGTGCAGCATCAGTTGAGTGTGGGAGTGGGAGCCATATGTTAGCAAGCGAGTACATTGGAGGGAAGGAAAAGTGAAGGAGTTTGACTTAAGAAAGATAAAGTATTGTTGGGGGGAGAATGCAAGGTAAAAGGAATGTTACTTTTAAATGTTTTAAAAGATCCTGTTAAATAGGAAGGATGGCAATAATACCCTGATCATGTGCTCTGTGTTGGACACTGTACTAAAACATTCAATCTATTAATAATTTCATCCGAATACTTGTATGGAGAAGACATGATTTCTAGTTTACATATAAAAAATGATGATTAAAAGTAACTTTGCTGGCCCCAATCCTAACTACATGGGCACCACCACCACCAAGAATGAATGAATGCACTTCAGAGGACAGCACTGAAGCTACAGCTCAGGGAGAGGGACATGTCTGAT